GATATATATATACACACACGTATGTATATATGTGATGCATGTGTATATATCATCAAAAATAGCTTTTTACAAATTAGCCATCAACCAAAAAACACATTTCCCCCTATAAATTTTCCAATCCTTAGGATGCAAAAGCAGAAAATATACCAAACAATATTTTACAAAGTAACCTAATGGCAAATTTAAGAAATATATGAACTCAGCTTCTAAACTTCTGTGCCAATAATGAACAAACATCTTATTAAAAAATTGACTTCCTGACATTTGCTGATCATTCGTGCTGTCTGGCTCATTCTTAGATTTGACAAGTTTCTCTATTAATAATCCTTTTGATTTAGTAATGACTTTACTGTACTATTAGAAGTGACAATTAATTTCAGTAAAAATTCATCCATAGGCAACTTTGATAGTCATTTCAACAGTTCTGTGTTATTTTACATTCACTTTTATAGCTCTATAACATTCATTTTATCTTGTTCAATGATGCTGAACCTCAGATGCCATAAGATATTATAGAAAAGTAGTTACTGCACATATGGAGTAACCACTTTTTCTGAACATTAATTTTCTCCTCTAAAAATACTAAAATAATATATAGAAAACAGGAGCCACCACTCCATGGGAAAGATATAAATGACTTTATATTGTGGACTTGCAGAAATTTACTAGATTATTTTATTGGGACCCCAGATATAAAGTCATTATTAACAAGTATTATCTGTGCACATCTAAGTAATGGCAGGTTTCCTCAACACTCACATCATTGGCAATATAGATTTGAACTAGATGTGGATTGAGGAATTTCTCTGAAACAACTGACAACTATGGGAAAAATGGAAATACTAGAAATACTTGTAAAATAAGAAATTATTTTTTTCTCTTTGTTCTTCTAATGTTTGAATATTCTTCCCATTCACTCATTCAAAAAACATTTTATTGTGTTTACTCTGCAGAGCATTGAGGAAGACAGCATTTAGATATTGTAATTGCTTTAGGATACGCGAAGCAATAAACACACAAATGTAACATATGAGTGTACATATACATATGTATGTATACATACATACACACACTACATATGTATAGTATATATGGTAACATAATCTCTACCCACATGGAGCTTAAGGTGTACTAGACAAAACAGAGAACTTTAAGATACAACACTGCAACATAAGTGCATGATAGAGTAACAAGCAAATTGAGAAAGCTTTATGGAAAAACTGGCCTTTAGGTTAGGTTTTAATGGATGATTAAGAATTCAAAAGGCTAATAAGGCAAAGGAGGTCACTCCAAGCATAGGGAACAGTGTAAGAATAACAAAATATACTTTAATATACAAAGTAACTTAGCTTAGACTTTAGGTGGATAGACATCTTAATTTTGGATGTGTCTCCAAAGAATTTTTTGTCCCAATTCCATTAGGTTGACCTGACCATAGGAAACAAGGGAGGACAACCAGTCCAACCTCTCATTTTACAGATGAAGAAACTGAGCCCCAGGGAGATTAAATTGCCCTCCCAAAACTGCAATTATCAGAACAGCTTTTGATTGGCCTCATATCATCTGAAATGTTGGTAAAATTATGTCTCCATCCAAGTTCCTTTCTGAATATTCCTTAGGAAAGAATGCCAATAACTAAAAGTTTTTTTCACAATCAACCTTTAGGTTTGTTTTACATGAAAATATCTTTTTTTTTCCTGGGAAGATATCAATAATTAACTAAAAATCTCCTCCCAAATCAGGCCAGAGACTAGATTTCCATAAAAACAAAGAGGAGGGAGATAGCATGGCATAAAGGGTAAAGATTTGGCTTTGGTCACAAGGACCTGGGTCCAATTCCTCTCCTGGTTGTGAGACACTGGCTACTTCTCTCAGTGCTCCAGACCACTTGTTAGGAACATATATTGCAGGGAAGTTGCTTATTCCATCTGCATTTTTAAGGGGGAATTGCATCCGTAGGAGTTCCTTTTATCAGTGAAATGCCAAGAATGAGAGACTTAGAATCAGGAAGATTTAAGGGTTCAAGTCTCCCCTCTGACACCAGTTGTGTGATTCTGGGCAAATCTTATCTGAGTCTCAATTTCCTCATCTGTAAAATGAAGACACTGAACTACTTGGCCACAGAGGTCCTTTCTCGTTCTACAGCAATGATCCTATGATTAAGAAACAGGTACGGGATGATGTGACGGCAGGAATAATTCTTGTTGGTTATTGAGATGTAGCTAGTGACTAGAGGCAGCTCCTTGTGGGAGTCATGAGACAGGTTCAAATCTAGTCGCAGACATTTACTGGCTGTGCATTCAAAGTCAAGTAAAAACCTCTCAGAACCTCAGTGTCTCCGTTTGTAAAATGGGGCTGATAATACTTGATAATACTGGCTCATCTTAAAATAGCCTGTTAATGTATGCAAAGTACTTCTTTTCCTAACAACTCTGTGTAGTTTTTCATGTACCCAGTTAATTCCCAGAATAAGCTTTTACTGTTTCTTTCCATGTTTACCCTCATGCCAATTCCAGCTTACAAAATTCCCCTAAGAGATCATGTCCCTAATCCCAATTTTTGCCACTTTATAATGTTCAATTGCTTAACAGATTTGCAATTGAATATAATATTCCATTTTTTAAAAAATCACGCAGAGAACAGCATGTCCAATGACCAAATAATTTGGGTGTCCCCAAGGCATCTGAAATGATTAGGATAAAAACAGAACGTCTGATTATTTTGGTCAAATCAAACCTCAAATTGAATCAATCATTTCATTCCACTTCCTGATCTGGATATTGACCGTTAGGGTAGCTTTTCTCCCCTTCCCATCAACTGATGGACTCCTCTCGCTCCCCTGCTTCCCAGAAGGTACCTAGTTCACCTAGTTCAACTACTTAGTTTTATGAATAAGGAAACCAAGAGTCAGAAAGGTTAATGTCAGTCCTGAGTGAGCTCCTTAAGGGTAGCGATTTTGGGTACTTGTCTTTGTATCTCCAGCTCCAAGCACAGAAGGAGGTATTCAACAGGTCCTTGATAAATGTTTGTTCAGTTGAATAGCATAAAGCAGCAGAGCCAGGATTTGAATCCAGATCCTCTGACTCTAACAGCCTACTTTAGAGGTGTCAGACTTGCAAAACTCCCTAGAGCTACCCAAACAAGATTAAAATGTAATTGGGAAATGTATGACAAAATAAATAAAAACATAATACCATATAATGTTAATTTGTGGCTTTCTAAATCAATACGTGGCCTTCAAGAATTCATTTCTATCTGAGTTAAACACACCACTGGTCTACCATACCAGGTTCCCAACACACTTTAGGTTTATTCAAAGTGTACTGTATTGACTAGAAACAAAACTGAAGGGAAAAGTTTGCTTGATCCAATTTACTGTCTAACATTAAAAGTTGCCCCGATTCTAGTTCTAGGAGAAACATCTCAAAATAGCAATAGCAACTGACATATCTATTGCATTTTAAGGTCTGAAAAACAAAACATTTTTTCTCACAATAATTGTGTGAAGCACATAGTATAAGTATTGCATATGTTTTACAAGTGAGTAACCCAAGTGGGGCAGCAAGGTAGTGCAGTGGATAGAGTGCTGGGCCTGGAGTCAGGAAGATCTGAGATCAAATCCAGCCTCTGACATTTACTAGTTATATGATCCTGGGCAAGTCACTTAACCTTATTTGCCTCAGTTTCCTCATCTGTAAAATGAGTTGAAGAAGGCAATTGCAAATCATCCCAGTATCTTTGCCAAGAAAATCCCAAATGAGGGTCACAAAGAGTTGGATACAACTGAACAACAACAAACCCACATGACCTACCCATAGTTATTAGCTATATAAATTATATTATATATTATATTATATTAGTTATATAGCTATATAAGTGAAGTGAGATCCAAACCCATATCTGCCAACTCCAAATTCATGGTTATTTCCATGACATTAGACTGTTGTCCTGCCAATGACTAACAGCTCAACTGTATACTGTGCTTCCTTAGTTGAATAAAGGCTACAATGGTCCCAGGACTTAAAAGATTACTGATGCAGGGGTACCTAGGTAAAATTGCCAGGAGTAAACAAATCTTGGTTTCAGTCACATAGCCTTGTTCTGTGAAAAGAAATTCAGCTCTTGAGCACAAAGTCCAAGACAGCTTACACTCACTTGCAAAGTCATTCACTTCCATGGGCCATTGGAGGAAGTAAATCTTAGAGCCTGAGGGGTTATGGATTTGGCACCTTCAATGACTTGGCTAAAAATACCAGAATTCTAATGAAAGTCACCACTTCAACTTGGGTGAGATTAGTAAAGTAGGCTGAAAAGAAAGGCACAAACCACACAAAATGCTTCCTTGCCTCTCTACATATCATTCCCTCCTTTAATCTAGGAAGTTAATGAGAGGTTTTAAAACTGATTAAATCAGTTTAGCTCATTCAAAGGATATTATGAACCAAATATTCAATTAAAACAATTTCCAAAGTAAAATTTAATAAAATCCTCTTCTAAGGTAATTAAGATGATAGGTTCTTAACATTATGTAAATTAAAGTCTTTTTGACAGCCACTAATTTTAAAAGGTGCTAAAACAATTGCTAAAGTTCATTTGGCAAAAAAAGCCATTCAATGTGCCAAAGTCACATTTTTTTTACTTAAATAATAGAAACTAGTGAAAATTAAACTAAGCCTAATATTATTATTTTTACTTAAAAAACCTACATGCAACATTTTTCACAGATACACATATTTAAAAGTAAAAGTACTCCAAATTCAGTTTACTAGTGAAGAAAATTACACCAAAGATAAATTTCTTGCTCTTTTGGGAAAGAATCATTTATAATTGCTTTATGAAAAATTAAGAAACAAGTTGAATGTTAGTGAATTTATTAAATAAGCAGATCCTTGTCTTCAGAAAAACAGATCTAGTAACACTTTATTTCAATTTGAAATCAATGAATCAACTCAATTTTAGAAAGTTTTTTTTATTATTGATAATGTAAATGAACTGCACAATTTATTATTTATAAATACAGCTGGAATTCTAAAAATGTTAAATGGAAAATTTCATTTATTTATAAACATATATTTCTGATAACTATCTTAAGTCATATCTTTGCTGTTCAACTTTGCAAAGAGGAGTTAGAAATACCGGGCAAAACAATGGTGTTAAACACATTGCCCTGTCACAAGATTTATAACCTTGTGTTACTTGCTAACAGTTCTGAAATAAAGCAACAAAAAGAAACAACTTTAAAAAAAAAGCACACCAAAATTTTTGTGCTTTTTCCAGGTAGGTGTAGGCAGAGACTTCCTAGAATAAAGACATGGATATCAGTGCAATATGAACAATTCCCAAGTGAAAACACTAATCTCATTCAGTGGGGGAAAGGGAGATGAATATTTGCTTCTACTCTGCAGTTTCTTATTTAAAAAATTAAAAAAAAAACCCAAAACAAAAAAAAAAAACAACAAAACAGCTAAAATCAATAGTTCTTTGGTAGTATAATAAAATATATCAACAATTCCAATAATTAATATGGACAAAATGCACTCAGAGTTCAACTTCGTAAATATTCACACTGCAAATGAGAATTAACTTCCTGCTCTTAAATGAAAAGAGGAAAAAACTGCCTCCCTTTGAGTACTGTCAATAATGTGAAAATACACAGAAGACAAGCTAGAAATGAGAATCCATTTAGCAAAATGCATTAGGATTGATTTGAAAAACCTTAAGTAGGTACATATACCCCAAATTCAGAAGGCAGCAAACTTAATTCTAAGCAATTACGTTATCACCTCCCTTTTAAATAAGAAGCATCAGGTTTCCTCTGAAGTGAAAGCCTCCTCTTCCACTTTTAAGTAATGCTTTCACAAAACCAAAGTGAACTTCTGGTTAAAAATATTTCCAGAGTGGATCAATATGAAAATGTGCTCATGGTATTCACCAAAAATAATTTCTTGATCTTACCTTTTGTGTAAAAACAAACAAAAAAACCCCAACCCCGAACCCTCAGCCCAACCTATGCATGTACTCATCAGTGCAAAATCAGACCACTTTGTATGTTAGAAACATGCAGTACAGTTTCCCTTTCTCCTGAAACAAAGACAATGAGCAAAAGCTTGATTAATAGGAATGTTTCATGACAAATAATTAAAATGCCTGGTTCCCCAAGTCAGTCTCCTCTCTGGACAACATGATCGGGAAGAGCAGCATTGTCAGGGCTGTGCCTATTTGCCCTTTCAAGAGAAACCAGAACCTTGTACCTCAAGGAGACAGGTCTATGTAACACAATAATTAGATTAAGCGAAAATAAGAGGATGAGGGGGAAAAAACAACAAGAATGAAAAGAACAGAGAAAGAATTTAGAAGACCCAAAGCAAGTAATATCACGTTAGAAGTCAACACAAGTCCTCTGCCACCAGCAACTTGGAGTACTAATTGCCCAATCTGCGAGGATGAAAAACACATCTAAAATGTCCAGCACCTTGCTTCAGCAAGTCTTCTCTCCACTTTCCCTCCTGCTTAAATCATGTCCAAAACCAATCAGCAAAGGACAAAGAATTCTGTACAGAGTGCAATTAATGTTTTCCACGTCCACCTTCAAAAGCATGATGCTCTTCATGGGCTAAAAGGGCAGGAAAAAAAGAAGAAGAAAGGAAAAGAAAATTTTAAACAAAGGATGGGACAACCCTCTTCCAAGCATCTTAGTTTATTTTGTAAATGTCATTGAAAATTCAAATACCATTTCCCCAGTAACTGCTCACTAACGCACTTGTTTCCTGGGATATGTAATTAAAATAAAAACCAAAGCGTAAGGAAACAAAAGGAATGCTGTCTGATTCTTTTTCCATGTCCAAGAAACTAAGAATGGACAGGATGATGAAGAAAATATCTTGCTCCAAGTGAGACCCACAAATTAAAATGTGTCACATGGAACATATCAGAAAAATTACCCAGCTAAGATAATGCACCCTGCAGTCTTGTTTTAAAACACATACATAAAAAACAACATGAGATAGTAACAATATCTATGTTATTCAGTCAGAATACGATCAAATGGCATTTTGTAAAGTGAATACATTTTTGCACTGAAACTTTCTTCTACTTCATTCTCTATAGGGACAACAAAAATCTATGATACTGGTAATCTTTAGACTTCCTTCTACTTATTAGTCCCAGTGTTGGATATGGGGGATGACTACATTTGTGTTCTATAACGTGAAAAGATGACAGGCTTCACATTCTTAAGTGAAAAAAAACTTAAAGCAGGGTTTACAGTATTTCCTCCTGGGCTACATGTCTGGTTAGAAAATTTATGTCCTGGAGGGCAGCTTCAAAACCAAAGTTAAATGGCAAGGTCAGACAAGTAGATTTTTTGTTATCTTTTACTGAAGTAGGTAACAACATTTCAGAGCCACACCAAGGTATGGTGAAGAATCAGGGCAAACCGACTTTGGTTCTCATGCTTTGGAGCCTCCACACTTTAAAGGGCTCTTGGTGACTAGCGAGTTGAGTCAAATCAACAGGAATTTATTAAGTGCTTGCAATGTGCCAGGCACAATGCAAAACACTGGGAATACAAAGAAATGCAGAGATAGTCCTTGCCTTCAAGGAGTTTACAATCTAAAGAGAGAGACCACATACAAATAACAATGAAAATAAAAGATATGTAAACTGGAGGTAATCTCAGAGGGAAAGCACTAGAAGTGATGGAGATAGGCAAAAACCTCCAAAAGAAAGGTAGGCTTTGAGTTGAGAGTTGAAGGAAGCTAGGATTGGTGAGCTGTCAACTGGTCATTTAAAAACTAAAAGTATCCTTTACACTACTGCCGAGGCAAAATGGTGAGTCTGACCCTTTCCTTTCCAACTTACATATGATACACATTACATCTTCTCATGTCTATTACTATTCTGACTTCTTTTTCCCTCGAAATTTATTTGAATCTTAACCACAGTTCACCCATAAAAAACTAGTGTAGAAAAGTGTGAGTCGTCCCAAGATCTGTATCCTCCTAAGGGTGGCTTTAAGCCTCACAGACTCCAGATACAGAACTCTAACTTTGAACATTTCAAATGTCATGTCTATGTACATTCAGTTAAATGCTCTACTTTTTTTTTTATCTTTTTACTGAAATATTTTGTTTTGACTCAGTAATTACTCTCCAACAAACAAAATCCTACTTTGTAAAGTATACTCTCCTAAATTATTTTTTCAATTAACTACAAGGAATGATATGCTCTTTAACTTTGACTATATGGCACAAATAGTGACTAGAGTTGTAATTGTAATTGACTAGAGTTTTGTTGCTTCTCCAATAGTGTTGTCTTCATTTTTTTGTACTGTTCCTTTGGTTCTGCATCATTTCTTGCAAATTTTCCCAGGTTTCTCTTAACTATTCACACTTATCATTCTTTATGAATACTGTATTTAAAAACTGAGCATTTCTCACAGCTTTGTTTATTTAGCCATTTTCTTCCTTCCTTCCTTCTTTCCTTCCCTCCCTCTTTCCTTTATTCTTTTTTTCCTTCCTTCCTACCCTCCTTAGACCTGTCAGGGCTTCTAATGAAATAGTTTTAACTGAAATCTGTACTGTGATAAAAATATTCTAGCTGAAAATTACACATGGACAATATAGACAGCAGGCCTAGTACAGAATCTATCGTGTAATAGGTGCTTAATAAATGCTTGTTGACTGACTGACATGTAAAATTGCATGGAAAGATAGTACAGAAATGTTCTTCCTACTTTGCATAAAGAGATTTCTCATTCTACTCTTCAAAAGAGTTCAGTACAATCTATAATTTCTGCCTAACATGAATTTCATGGTTAAAAAAACAGTTTTAGACCTGGAAACAAAAGTAGGATATTGCCCTAGTTAACAGTGAAATCTTACTGAATACACACACACACACACACACACACACACACACACACACACACACACATATATAATTTCCCCATTTTGACTGACTGGCTGACTTGAATGAGTATTAGGTCACTTCTGTGTGTGTGATTTTTAACATGCCACCCAGAATCTGTCAATTCTTGAGTTCTTGAACCCAGAACAAAAGGGATTATCATTACAAACTACATTCATGAAGTCAGCCACCTCTACTCAGTTCATCCTGAAGGTATTTGTCAATGTCAAATCACTCAGTGAACAAAAATTTCTGGCAATTTCTTATGTTTCCAAAACAATTACACGGTACTCAGAATGTAATCCTACTGAACAAAGACTGCCTGTCTTGGAGAGAGTTAGAAGAATTATTGGTGTTTTGATCAACATTAGGACAATAATAATTTTATCACAATTAAGGTCTTGATAATTTGAAATATTTTAATTTTAATATATTCCATTAAAATATGATTTTCCTACTCAGAAATGACACCTGTCATTATCCATGATTTTTAGTGGCATCTATACTCAGCTTGGCCATTCAGCTTGACTAAATTAGCTAAAAATAAACTCAATTCTGTTTTTGTCTAGCAAGGACAATTATTAGTTGCTAAGCAGCAAATCACACTGCCACATAGTCAATCTTATTAGATCACTAATGTGGACCCAAAAATTAGTCTGACCAGTTTGTGATCCAATTATTTAATGAATGTGAACAATTTAAATTTCTCTGATTCTATATCAACTGAGATTGACTAGAATACTCCAAACCACAGAACCAAAGAATTTTAATACTGAAAAGAACCTTTGGGGTCATTTAATGCAACACTCTCCTTCTACAGGAAACTGAATTCCAGTCAAGTTAAATGACTTGTCCATAGTCACAAAGCAGAGTCTGGACTAATACTCAAGTTTCCTGACTCCCAGGCAAGGAATCTTCATTGCTTTACCTCTCTTTACCTTTCTATACCACACTACCCATCTCTTCATGTTGTAAGGTTTGATCCAGGCAGCAGTATCTAAATGAACGGGAAAAAAAAGTCTATCCCATTCCATCAAGAAAAACAAAACAACTCTGATCTCAAGAGTGTTGTTATAGTAGTTTGTCATGAAATTTAAAAAAAAATTGATATTGGCAATAACATTAAAAAATAAACTTTAAATTATTTCTCTTTTCTTTTTCTTTTTTTGACAACGTCGTTTTATAGTATCTAAAGCACAAACTGGACATGCACACAGTTACCATTCCCCCACTCCAAGTCTAAGGAATACTCTTTGTATGGCTGCTTCACCTCCTTTTTGTTTCTCATCTTCATTTAAAATGAAGAAACTCAGCACATTGTATTTAACTGTAGCTATGAGCTAGTCTTATTCTTTAGGACCTGAACAGTCTGATGTTCATGCCTCTTATTTCCACAGAAGGCGCTATTCAATATCTTCAATTACAGTCAGCCAATCTTGAAACATAAATGATCCTTTCCCATTTTTAAGCCCTCCCCACCTTTTGGCAGTGGAACTGAGAGAAGAGCAGGAGAAGGACATATTTATTATGAAAGTTTATAGATTTGAAACATTTCAAATATTTCAAAAAAACTTAAAATGGTTTGTGCCTTATACATACTAGGCACCTGTGGAATGCTCAGTAGATAAATAAGCGGCAATTCTAGTCTCCAATTTATCATTAAAACTATAATCCAGCATTTGCAGACACTTGTTTAACAGGATGTACAAAGCTGTTTCCTTTCTAAGAGAGATAACTTTGAAACGACACATAAGCAATGGATACAAATTCAAATGGAAATTCTGGGTCAATCCATACATGTAGTTATACTTTGGTTGCTATCATTTTACCACAGTAGATGAATAAATGTATTTTTAGTTTGTGTATTTAAAATCATGGATAATGAGGAATGATTAGCATTTCACTATAATATACAACCATCTTTATATCTAGAACTAGCCTCACCTTATAATGTTGACGTTATATTTTATAAATTCTTGTTTAAGAATGACTAAAGATCTACCCCCATCTGCTCCTATAATAGCCTTTAAAATTTTTGTCTTGAATCTAATGCAATCACTCCTGAGTATGATATATACAAGATTAGACTTAATTTTTAAAAATAACAAATATTTTATGTACCTTTGTTTCTGACCGACACAGTTAGGAGGGAATAAAATCTGGTCTGAATTATGCAGAATATTTTTTAAACACATAGGAATTTCAAGTGATTCTGTTTTTCCTTCTTAACAATATATTTTCTATTTTTAGAAGTAAACCATAGAATGACCTAGAAGGAGATAATTGGAACCAAAGTACTTACGTTTGTAAAATACTGCTTTGAAAGATATGTGTGGCAAGAGTTCGTAGATCTTTTCTAAGACTGTTGCTTCACTTGCTAAAGAGGCATTCACATTCCAGACTTGAACAACATCTTCTCGATCACGAACACTCACACTAACCCCTATTACATCATCATCTGCATGAAGGACAGACAGGATCAAGGGGGAAATGAGTTAATCTTTTGAGTCAATCTACAATGAACTTCAGAATATAACATTTTTTTTTATAAATTATGGATAAAACTAAAAGGAATATGCTCTAAGGATTAATTATATTTTATAATCAGCAAAAAGCTAGCAAACAAGTGATTTTATAGCAGCACTGTCATGGACTCTGGGGCTCCGAATAACTGAAAAACATTGTTTTAAGCATCAAAGCTTTAAAAATCATTATTATTAAATTGATTTTAGTGGAAGTATTTCTACATTTATCACATATTTCCCTGACATCTTAAACAGAATATAATGAAATTAATCACTTCTTGATGACTACAGATCATCACTATGGACAGTAGTTGCTATAATGAAACTCTCACGAGCTATGGAGATGTATACATATCTGTTTGACTATATATTATTTTTTTCCCAATTTCTGGGTCCTGATGTCAACTTCTAAGTCTTTCTCTCACCTTCTTTACTCTCAGGCTATCAATTTTCCTTTCTTGCTGATGTCCCTATGCTTGTTTGTAACAGCTTCTACCCAACATAGCCATGTTTAACTTGGGATTTGTTGGGAAAACAGGTAATCAAACTTGTTAGAATAGTGTCTAAAAGAAGGCTAAATACATTGTTAGTGTTAACACAAGGAGATTTGGGTTCAAATCCAAATGCTTTATGCTTACTGTGTGACCTCAGCAGTCACTTAATCTCCTGGAAAAATTGGGGTGCAGGAATTGACTACATGGCCTTTCAAGTCCCTTCCTGATTTATGATCCTATGACCTGCTGGGACATTTTTTTCTTACTCTTCAGTCCTTGACAGTGTTATGGATGGTTGTGGGGGCTAATTCAATGACCACTGGATGAGGTGTCATTGTAATTATTATAATGTTTACTTGTTCCATTTTTGTAGATTCAAACAGAAAATATTAGAGTTCAAAGGAATGTTTGAGGGTATCTATTCCCATGTTGTGGTGGCAGTCTCAAATAATATCTCTGGTTTCATATTTTCATTACAGTAAGACAAATAGGTTGTGCTATAAACAGCATCACAAAACTTGACATTCAGTTAGTAAAGTGAAATACACAGCATCAACAAATTTAGAAAATGAAGTCATACATTATCTTGCCTGATTTGTTTTGCAAATGTGTTTTTAGTAAGTTTATCCTGCTTTCTTTTGAAGTTAAATTCATTTGTATAATCAGACACAATTTAAATTGTGATGAGTCTTGTTCTTAAATTTTCTTTTAAAAATTTCACTATATTGCTTTATTTTAAAAAAATAATTTGAGCCTAATAAAAGGTGCTTCAATTGCATAGCAGAAAGAAAGCTGAGCTTATGGCTAGAAAACCTAGATTCTAGTTTTACCCCAAGCTACTAGCTATATGACCTTGGGAAGAAGGAAGGAATAAAATATTTACTATATGTCAGGGAATGTATTAAGTGGAAAAGCACTTCACTTCCCTAGCCTCAGTGCCTTCATTTGAAAAAAAAAAAACTGAGGGGGTTGGACTCAATGATCTTTAAGGTCCCTTCCAGATTTACCATTTTGTGATACATGTTGAGAATTTTGTAGAATACAGGTTGGATTATATCAGGGGTTCTAAACGTGAAGTCCATGAATAGATTTCAGGGTATTGGATCACACACACACACACACACACACACACATACATGTATGTATGTATGTGTATGTATATATATGTATGTATGTTAATATAATTGGCTTACTTTGTAATCCTATATATTTTATTTTATGCATATGAAAAGAAGACTCTGAGAAAGGGTCCACAGACTTCACCAAAAGTGATACAAAAAAAGATCAAGAAGCCTTAGCCTAAATTAGATGGATTCTAAGGCTCTTCCAGCTCTGATATTCTGTTATTCTAACAACTTTTATTTAGAGACAGGATTTTTTTTATGTTGTAGTAATAATAAATCAACTATCACCTAAGGGGGTGAACAATCCTCTTTTCAAGTTATTTTAATAATACATTTATTTACAATAGATGAAATTGTTTATGTAAACTGTACTGATTTTGTTAAAAACAGAAACAATGGGCTGACAGTTTTTCAGTTTGCAGTTAAATTTAATTGTCTAGAGAATACACACCCATACATATATGCATATGTGTGTGTATATATATGTATATGTATATATATATATATATGGAGAGAGAGAGAGAGAGAGAGAGAGAGGGAGAAAGAGAGTGAGGAGAGAGAAGAGGGGAGAGGGAGGGAAGGAGGGAGAGGGAAAAGGGGGGGGAGAGAGGGGGGGAGAGAGAGAGAGAGAGAGAGAGAGAGAGAGAGAGAGAGAGAAAGAAGAGAGTCTTACTTGCCCAGCACATCACTTCCATAAATTTAAGATGTGGGCACCAAAAATTATACATCAAGAACAAAGCAAATTATATGGAAGGGCACTTCTGGCTATCCAGCAAACCTACATTATATTCATATATGGAATTAACCAGCATGAACATGACCCTAATAAAATGTGTGTTATTTCCAGAGACAGTTGTGTAACCATAGATATTATTTACTTAAGCTGGTCAGCTATTTTTACTTAGTTCATCTTTCCTAGTACCTGAAACAGAAATAATTCATACCAAAAACTGCTTCTCAAAGGGATTCACATGTTTGTAATTACGCATGAGTCATATTTTTAGCAACATTTAGCCAAGTTACTACTCCTTGCTAATGCAGAAAGTTTCTTTACTGTTAAGCCAATTGTTCCATTTTAAACCAATTCATCTCTAAAGTAGCTAAGCTGAAGTGTAAGTGGTAAGTGTACCAATAAAATTAAAAGACCTTAATCATTTATTTGGTTGTAGCTAAAAACAGCTTGGACATGGGTGGTTTCTAACCTCCTTTTTGAGGGAATGCTCTGTAAAAGCCACAAACTCTTTACTTTATCAAAATAATTTTTCAAGAGAGCTGGGCTTTTCTTTAAAGGCCAAATGGTGGAAAACACTTGTTGATTTACACTTACCCAGAATCTGTCTGAATGAGACACCCAAAGAAGAATCAAAATGAACTTCAATGTTCTCCTTTTTTGTGTGCTTAGTTAAATAATGATCAGTCATTCTTCAGAACTTTGGGAAATCCATTCAGCATTAAAAAATGGGCTAGCAAGGTTCAGAAAGTTTTGAGCTTATCATCACCTATGGAACAATTGAGATTGGGCCAGATGGGATATGTGCAGAGCAGCACAGAGAGAGAAGTTGAGAGTGAGCCCAGCGCACTCTGCAGCCTGAGTTGTGGTGTGGAAATGAGAGCTTTGTACTGCTTCTCCAGGACAATACAAGAGGGCAAAGAATGTGAGAGACCTAACAGAATGGGTCCACTTTCCCACTCACTTCACAAGATACCACTAGCTCTTATTTTTCACTTTCCCATTGAAAAACAAAATTAAGACAAGGAAAATGAAAACAATTTTGTTCAGGTTAATAGCTCCGTGGATTTTAATTTTTCTTTCTGTTTCCTATTGACTGTAGACAAATCACTATGACTGATTTAAAAAAACACTAGAAAATAATTAAAATGAAGCAAATTATTAAGTGCTATATTTTATATTCTAAGACAGATATTGATTGTATATATGTATATAGATTTTACCTGTCAGTTTTTTTTTTATAATTTGACATTTAACAAAGTTTTTTCATATATGTTTACTGCTTAAGTTTCTAGTCATTTCTTAATTGTGCAGTATGAAATATATTCATTACATTTTATGGAAAACTTGGATGGTTAACCACTAATTTGATTAAAATCTTACTTATCCATTCAACTGCTAAGGTAGCCAGACAGCCCATGGAAAGCAATAGAATGTCTATGTGGAGCTCTAGAATTTGGACACATAAGAGTTAAAAGACTAAAAAACAAATTCTCTCTCACTTCTGACCTTTCAGTAGACTACAAAAAAAAAAATAGTACTAAAAACCTGTTACATGCAAAAAAAAAATTTAAGCCAACTACATAGTAACAAAGTAAACAGCTTCTAAACAACATCATATTAAAAAGCCACACACACACACATACACACACACACATACAAAAAAAATTTCTGCCAAGGAATAAACACAAAGCCAAGCACTAGGTACATACACATGCAGTTTAAGCCATGATTTTTTGTTTTTACCTGCTGTAGAACAATCTGTAAACTGTTCCCCGATAGTTGCTAATAACAACTCTTTCCAAACTGTGGGCTAACATGGAAGAGAAATATATACACACATTTTCAGATAGTGAATTTTAAGACCCCAGTCAGTTGCTCTTCTATAAGGAAACATTAGTTTTTCAAGTTCACTTGAAAAATTCAGACATCCCCAAATCAGCCAGGAAAAACATTCAATAACTTAACAACTCAACAAACATTTATTAAGTCCCTTCCAATGCTGGGCAAGGGCACTAGGGATACAAAGATGAAGCAAGATACTCTTCCTACCCTTGGGAGGCAACAATTAGGATGACACAGTAAGAAATTGACATACATACAAATAACTATAATGTAAGTTTAGGTTTAATTAAGTTTGAAGGAGGAGTTGAACAATATGTGAGAGATTCAGAAAAGGATCATGTCTAGAAGGTAGTACCAAGGAATGCTTGGAACTGGATGGTATCTGAGCCAAACCTTGAAAAATAGAGCAGTATTTCAACAGGCAGAGATGTAGGGAAGGGTTGATTCCAGGAATTAGGGATGACATGTGCAAAGACATAAGGGAGGGAGAGAACAAGAAAAGACCTGGGAACAACGAATAAGTTAAGCTGCTTTGAGGCAGAAGCTACTTAATTTTTGTCTTTATAAACCCATTGATTAGCACAGTGCCTGGCACATAGTAGGTGTTTTATATATGCTTTTCAATTGATAGATTGATTTGAGTTCAAGAAGGAGTAGTGGGAGATAAAGGTTGTGGAAGCTTTGAATGTCAAGCTAAGGAGTTTTTATTTTGTTCAGTAGGCAATGGGAAAAACAACACTGAATGTTTCTGAGTAGAGGAATCATGTTTTACTTTGACAGCTGTATGGAGAACTGTAGAGGGGAGAGCCTAGAGGAGGTTATTATATAACACTGGCAATTTTGTAACAGGGAAAATCATAATGAGCTGTGGTAAACTGAGGCAAAGAGATTTGAAGACTAAAGAAAACATATTTCTATTAAAGGCATTAACAATGTTCAGAAAAATAAAAAAAAGCTTTTAAAGTCAGTGACACTCATATTAGGAGAGATTAAATTTCCCTTTTCATTAGCCAGAATGTATATAGATGTATAAATACATTATATGTGTGTGTATTTTATACATATATATAATAAACACACATATACATACATGTATATATAGTGTATATTAGAAGTTTTCCTGCTCTTTCTTAAATAAAAGAACCCTCAAACATACATCTTTCATGTATGCAAATAATTTCATTGCTGGATTAATTTCAAAAGTATCAAAACATGACTGTGAAAGAAATAAATCAGCTTGCATATTTTAGGTCTGTGAAACTACAAGAATTTCTTTGCACTGGACAATTTTTTTAAAATGTTAAAAACATTTAAACTTCACAAAAGACCCCCAAGGAACAGAGGGAATTATTTTAACTGTTTTTGTATCCTTTGTTAAAACTGTCATAATCTTGAAATATCACAGTAGTAAATAAGTTATTGTTGGGGGGAAAGCTAAAATTTTTTTGTGAGCTGGTAAACTTTTTGCATTGATTTGCAAAGCTAATCTATTGGGTTTAATTCTTAGTAATGAAGACTCAATCATTCAGACCGTCAGTTAAAAATCATTTATTAAGTACTTACTATGTTTCAGGCACAGTGCAAAGTACTGAGGACACAAAGAAAGAGGAAAAAACTTGTTCCCTGTTCTCAAGAAGCTCACATTCTAATGGGGGAGGAGTGTCAACAAGCAAGTAACCATAACTATAAGATGTATACAATGTAAATGGAAAGTAATTTCAGAGGAAAGGTATCAGTTCAGGGTTGGGGGAGAGGGAGATGAGGAAATACGAAAGGCCTTCTACAGAAGATGAGATATGGTAAGAGTCTTGAAAAAAGCTAGGGAAGCTAGGAGTGGGAAGTGAAGAGGGCGAGCATTCTAGGCATGCCAACGCAAATGCACAGAGGAAGGAAATGGAGTATCTTGTATGAAGAATAGCAACAGGGCAATGAAGCTGGATCAGAGTGCATAGAAGGGAACAAAGTTTAAGAAGAAGACTGGCAAGGTAAAACTGGGTCAGGTTGTGAAGGGCTTTAAATGTCAACAGAGGATTTAATGCTACTTCAAACCTTTCAAAGTTAAAACTAGAGTCCATTTTGTAAATTATCATTGAACTGAAAGGCACCTTTATGATTTTACCTGAAAAGTACTTCACTATGTTTCTTGTAGTGTTATAACTGTGCCCCTTGAGGCAGAAGAGATGGAGACCTTGGCATCTGTCCAATAAGTCCAGTTGAATGTGAATCACTGTGGAATGATGTCACTGCCAAATTTGTTTCCTTTCACTCCTCATGTTCCTCCTCTGTTGTCACTGTACCTTGTCTACTTTTTTTCCCACCTTGCTCTCTCCCACTCTCATTCTCCTTTATTTACTACCAAGGATTTTTTTTTTTTTTTTGTGGAAAGACCTTTTACTCTTTTTCTAATTTGTCTCTTGGTAGTGACTCTACACAGCACTATTGATTAGGGAGGTAGAAGCTAAGATCAGTAAAAATTAATTATCCTTTTGATTTCATAGTTTCTGCTACACTTGCCTTTGAGGGAAATTGAGTACAACATTACTATTTGTTAATTAAGAATTGTGGAAGGTCCTGGCTACTTGGAGAAAAGGTCCTGGTGTAATAATGAAACAAAAATCATTACTGTTGGTGACTGTTGTCAACTGGGCCCTCTAAAAAGAAGGAGCTTGGTAATTCTGCTATTAAAACTATACACATGGGTCAGCAGAATAAATGTGGATCTGAAGTCTGAGGACCAGGTTCAAATATGGGCTCAGCTACCTGTTAACTGGGTGAGAGAAATGAACTTGATGACTGAGGTAACAAGTCATCACAAAAGTCATTATGAATACTTTAAGGATGTTATCGAATGGGGGGTTGGAAGGGGAGAGAGAGAAAGCCATCCAGATCCTCCCCCCCAAAAAAATTCACAACAGCCTTCTATATAATAGCAAAAAAAATGTAAATAATCTGAGTATATGATTAGGTAATGGCAGAAAAAATGAACTATGACCATAAATGAATACTATTACACCACAGGTAACTGCAAATATAAAGTCTACAAGGAAATACGGGCAAATGTACAAGGGATGCAGGGTGAAGAAAGCTAAATGAGAACAACAATTGATACAGTAGCAATGACAATATAAACAACATTAACACAATCCAAAGAATCCACAGAAGTAAAAAGCCAAAAGGGGATGCAGCAGCAAACAGGACATTTGTTCATACTGTTCAAGCCAACGAATACTTTTCAAAAACAAATCAGAAACAATGGACTTGAGGATTTTGTATACGATCTTTTAACATTTTTGAGTATTTCAGGATGAAGATAAGGAATGAATAAAAAATTCCTTTCAAATGAGGTTGACATGAGAGTTTCTTTTAAAACTCAATTACTAATAAGTTTGAGCAAATAAAAAATAAAACTTGAAAAATAAATATTTCTCCCTCCCTCTATTCTCTTCTCCCCCCTTCTCTCTCTGCTTACTAAGCCTTATGTAGTTTGTTATTTGCTTCCCTAACATTTTTTTTCTTTTTAATACATATGCCAAGTAACAGTCAAAACTTGGAAGAATGTATCTTGACTAATAGTTTGCACCTTTAACAAATAAATCTGGTTCTATACAACTCAGACATATGGGTCCCTGGAGGGTTTTCAGATCTTTTGAGCATACATACATGAAAGAAACAATAGAAAGGTGAGCCTGTTAGTTTTATTTCTTTTATCTCTTATCAAGGGCTCTTCTTGGTTTGTTTAAGTCTTAAGATAACATTTTAACGTTCGTTTTCATTCAATACAATGAATAAAGGCCCATGTGGAGATACTTCTTTTTAACTCTCAAGGAGTCTGTTGTAGACATCTATGGCCATGCTTTTGAATGCTCCCACCACAGCAGACAACTCCACATCTCTTAGGTGGCACTTCTACTTCATTTGATACAAGGAAGGTCTTGGCCATCAGAGGCAAGGCCCAGCATCACCCTGGAGCCCTTAAATAGCAATACTTCAAGCCTTATGTCCTAGCAGCATCCTGAGGTGAGGCCAGTTCACCCTTCTGTGGGCAGCCTAGTGGCTCCTCAGTCTTGGAGGCTCACCATATTAATGCCAGACTTAGTGCAGACACCTAGTCAGTTTAGCCTATTGTAGCTGAGAAGTCCTTAATGCAATGTGTGTGCATATGCACATATGCTCATGCTTCATTACATCAAACTCTCTGTGACTTCCCCATTAGGAAGAGATTACAAGTATGCACAACCACACCAAGTAGAAACCAATTTCAGACTGAGATACAGTTATCAAACTATTTAAAAAATTTCACTGACCCCAGGTTAAGAATCCCTTGGCTTAAAGTGACCTGTCTAAGAAGGGCATGGACTGAGTGATGAAGCTGAGACCTGAACATTAACTTCGTGATGCTCAACTGAATCAAAACACAATTCTGCTATACAGGGACATGTGAAAATGTAACAGCCACGTAAAAGAAAGGTTCTTTGGAGTTATTATAAATCTCTAGAGTTCAAGAGATTCACTGGTTAGGTCTTTAGGCTCCAGCAATAGGATGGAATTTAGTATAATTTTGGCCAACCTGGGAGTAAAACCATCTTAATATTGCCAGTTGGATAAAATATGGGAACTTGAGAAAAGTGAGAGAAATAATTTTCTTAGCAATAATTACCTTTTATGCCAGCCTGCCCAGCCTTGAGTTTTGCAAGCTGTTTTGTAAGTCAGCATAGCTACTGCTGCTTTATAGAGGAAGAGAAATGATTTCCCAAGGTGGGAAAGTAGGGCAGAGAAAAGGCTAAGAGAATAACTCAGGGTTTTTCATCATTACATCCTACTCAAAGTCAACCATGCTAGCCTACTCTGGAAAGCACAAATCTGTCTGCTAACACAATAAACAAAAGCCCAGCTGAGTCATTTCCAGAAAGGCTGTGGTACAGACATACCGTGCTTTCCTTGGGGACTTTCATTTTCCACACGCCACCCTTTGCGTTGCTTTCTTCTTCCCTAAGTTGAAGACAAAAAAAGGTTGAAAAAGTGGATGCATGGATTAAGTGACTGTGTGTCTAAGGCATGTATGTATGTGTATGTGTGTGTATGCACATATGTGCATGCTTCATTACATCAAACTCTCTGTGATTTCTTCAGAACGGATGCTCCTCTAATCTCTCCATTCCCTCCACTTATGCCCATCACATTCCTTCCTACCGAAAGGAAACATCCAAGGAAGACTTTTTAAAATTTTCTTTTTTTATTTTGAACTTTACAATCATCAAACAAATATTCCAATGTTCAGTGAACCACAAAAAAGACTTTGTACGAAACCACAAATTTATCATATATGTTTTGTTATTTTAAAAAGACTCTACTAGATTTATTTTATTTAAATTTGTATTTTCAAAGACTATGTTCATTTTAACAAGGTAGTTATTGAGTATGACTTTAGTGGAGAGGACAGGACAAAGGCAAAAATAAATATCAAAGGCAAAAATAAATATAACAATGGACTTCAACAGCCTTGGAAAAGAAACAAAATAAAAGAATCTTCCTTTAAAATCTTTATTTCACTTCCTCCATGGGCAAGAGAAATTGATGGGAATAGATAAGGGGTTCTCAATCTGAGATCTATGAAGTTTTTTTTTAATAGTTTGACACTGAATTTAAATAAAATGTTTTCTTTTGTAATCCTATGCATTTTATTTTATGCACTCAAAAAAAACATTATTCTGCAAAAGGATTCATAAACACAAAAAGAAGTAAATGACTTTTAAAATAGTTGGAAGGAAGAGAAAAGAGGAAGGATCATAGATTCTAATCTTCTGTCTTTGGATTCCCAGCTTCTAGCACAGTGCTCAGAACATAATAGGTACTTAATAAATACTTCCTGAACTGAGATTGAGAAAAATCCTGCTACCTTTCAGGACAATGAGGCTGACAGGAGGTTTGGGTATGTGATCCTAAAGGTGGCAATGGAAGGAAAAAACACTAGATTGTGTGGGAGTCTGGTAGTAGATAAAAAGAAGAGGGTAGGCACATTGGAAACTGCCAGATTTGGAGTCTGAGGACCTATGTTTGAGGCCTGACTGTGACACTTATTATCTGTGTGATCTTGAGCAACATTTCTATTTTTTTTTTGAGGGAGGGGGTTAGGCAATGGGGTTAAGTGACCTGTCCAGGGTCACACAGCTAGTAAGTGTTATGTTTCTGAGGTCACTTCTGAACTCAGGTCCTCCTGAATCTAGGGCCGGTGATCTTTCCACTGCACCACCTAGCTGCCCCACTGAGCAACATTTCTAGGTCTCAGTTTTCTTATCTCTAAAATGGCAGGGGGTGGGAGAGGACACTTGATGATCTCTGAGGTCCCTCTCAGATCTAAATCTACGATTGCTAATTGTTCCTTCTCTCAGATAACATTAGTAATCTCACAGATATTTATATTATTCTATATTATATTTTAAGTTCATCTGAGGTCTATTTTTTATTTAAAACATATACTCTACCTTGTCTCTCCATGAGACCATAAGTTCCTTTAGTCCAGGGACCATATCTAACCCAAACTGTCAAAAACAAAGTCTTTTCCCTGTTGTGGACCACAGGCAGTCAGTGAGGCCTATGGACCCATTCTCAGAATAATATTTTTAAATGCACAAAATAACAAGATTATAAAGGAAACTAACTACATTAAAATATAGTTATCAATATTAAAATATTAAAGAACTACAAGACACTAAAATGTAAGAGCTTAATAATACAAATATTTGGTTTTTATGACAATGAAGCAAAACATTAAAGAGAAAATGCTGAAAAACCTAAGGTCTGAAGGCCTTAGATGACCTAGGTGGGCATGTTTGTCTTTCACTACGAACTCATAAAAAGAATTATTTTCAGACTTAAGTGGTAGAGAGCCATAGTTATATTCCAAGTCAGTACAAATCTATTTGCTTCACTGTGGTTTCCCTCCCACTTTTAACCTGAAATTACATGAGAGTTACTTACCAGAGAGGTCGTCTCTCTCCCCTCATTAAATGATAACTACATCTTAGAGGCAGGTTAGTCACAGGAGGAATATTATTGTACACACTCCAGAATATCTTGGAAAGAAAACAACATATTTTAATTTAATTCAGATCTTTTTCATTTAACTTATATGCTACTAAATCATCAAAATTAACACACACAGGAAAATATGATTCTCATTAAGTTTTAGCTATTAAAAATAGATTTTTTCTCATTATCACTTTCAACTTTCCACTAGGAACATTAACATTTATAATGATAGAGAATTTTACTTTCTAAAACCATGCCAAGTTCTATGCTTCGGAGTACTATAGTTACTGAGCAAATATTCTTATGTAACATGAAATCGTATACAACTAGGAATTGATTCGTATCTAATGATTTTTCTGACATCATAGATGATTTCTAATTATTTTCTTAAAAATAATGTTTCAATTTTCTACCCTGGCACAGGGGAGTCCTAGGAATAAATGGAGAAACAAAGAGGAGATGACCTTATTCCTTGGCCCTCTTTTTTCCCTACCAGATGAGAGGGGGAAGGGATGAATAATATCTAAATCGTCACACAAAATGATGCAATAATGTTCACATAATACTTTACAATTTAGATAGATTCTTATAGATTATCTCATTTGGTCATCATAACAACTCTGAAATAGACAGAACAGCTGTTGTCATCCCCATTTGACAAATGAGGAAACTGAGGCTTAGAGTGCCTAAATCATGAGTTTGCTTTTTTTGTGTCATGGGCACTTCTGACAGTCTAGTGAAGCCTATGGAGCCTTTTTAACAATAACATTTTTAAATGAATCATATAAAATACATAGGAATACAAAGGAAACCAAATATGTAATATGTATAATTAGCTATATATGTTATATATTAATATATTACGTAGATACATAACATATTGTCTTAATATATTAACATCATATATGAATACATATTGTTTCCTTTCATAATGTGTGTATATGTATACATGTATATATGTGTAGATGTGTAGATAGATAGATAGATAGATAGATAGATAGATAGATAGATAGTGACATTGTTGTTTGTTGTTGTCATTTTTGTTCTGAGATTAGATCTCCTTCTCTCATTCAGGCTGGAATTTTAATGGCCACTCTTGGGTCTGCTTCTACTGCTGATCAGTACAGAAGATTTGGTGTGGTATTTCCAACCTGGGCCAGTAGTGGCATCCCAGTCTTGGAGGTTCACCATATCAGTGCCAGATCTAGTGGGAACATCTAGTCAGTCAGCTTAGCCAACTGCAGCTGAGAAGTCCTGAACTCAAGTGATCCGCCATTCAAGGCTTCCCCATTAGAAAGGAATCACAAGTGTGTACCACTACACCACGAAGAAACCAATTATACTGAAATATAGTTATCAAACTATTTTTTTTAAAAAGTTCACTGACCCCAGGTTACAATTCCCTTGGCTTAAAGTGACCTGTCTAAGGTCATGGACTGAGTTATGGAGCTGAGACCTGAACATTAACTTTCTGATGGTCAACTTCATCAAAACACCATTCTACTTTAGAGGGGCATGTGAAAACAATCACTATGCTAAAAAAAAAAGTGTTCCTACTTCCCCTACACCCATTGAGCAAGCCACACTTCAGGCTGCATGGCCAAAGAGCAGTCACTTAGTAAGCATCTCATCCAGACATGCTCCCTAAAGCCAGAAAAATCCCTTCAGGTGCCCTTTGTTCACAACAAATATTCACTGAGTATCTACCATGGGCAATTTTCTGGGTGTTACGTGGGATGCTCGTGAGAAGCCACAAACATATGTATGGCACTTAAAGGATTCCAAATCAATTTACATACACATTATCTCTTTTGAGTCTCACAATAATCTATAAGGTACAAAGGGAATTATCATCTACATTTTACAAATGGGGAAACTGAGGCTCAGAAAAGTTAAATGATTGACCGATAATCACATTCAGAAGAATTTTAACTCAGTTCTTTCTGACTCCTAGCACTCTAATTGTCATGCTACCTAATAATGATACATGAACACAAACAACCATAAATAAAAATAAAGAGCAGAGACTATACTAAAAAGTACAAAACATCATTATTTTGTCTCTTTGCCACCTTTTATCTCCAAACTGGACCATATACTGATACTGGGTTAAATCTCTTTGCTCAATAATACAACACATTTTAGGAGCAAAATGACTATGAATGAAGAATGTTACCTCTACACACACAACAAAATGGGAAATAGAAAAAAAAATTTAAGCTAGCCAAAATAAGTTATATTGAGTCCTATGGCATAAGTGCTTTACAACCTGAGTCTTCATACAGCTAGAAAAAACAAAATAAAATGAACTTTAGGTTCTGAAGGAAAGAGAACCACCTCCAGACTAATTTCTCTCATCAGCCATAAATTTTCTTGCATATAAAAAAAAATGATCAAATTCTTTACTCTTTGACAAGTGAGATTACAGCCCAGGATTACATAGCTGAAGACTTCACTCTTACTTAATATATTTTAAATATTTAAATGCGTGGGTGTGGGCACAAAAGTGTTGGAAAAAATACCTAATCCACTTAAAAACACCTCCATTTAAAAGTACAATTGCAATAAATCATTCAATCTATTAATCAATAAGCATTTGTTAAGTGCCTATTATGAGCTAGCTAGGCACCAGGGATATAAAAACTAAAGGGAAATGATGATCCCTGCCCTCAAAAAGTTTACATTATTCTGGGGGTGAATAAAACATGTTCACAGATAAGTAAATACAAGATATGTACAAAATAAATGCAAAGAAATGGGAGAAGGGGAAACATTAAAAATTGGAAAAAATCATGGAAAGCCTCTTGAAAGTATATTTTGAGCTGAGCCTTGAAGGGGACTAAAGATTATCAAGCTGCTTCCTTGAATGGAGCTTCCTCTACATATATTATACACTCCCCCTAATATTTAGAATTCATCGATAAGCCTGAAAGACAGTGAAACGCTGAAGGAAGCAATATTACATAATTCTTTGGGAATCTATTTTACTGCCACTCTCAAGGCACTGTAAGGTTGAAAACTTAATGAGACATAGTTCACATTTTCTACAACATTAAAGTTTCTACCCAAGATTCAGAAAACAAAAAGCTATAAATACATCCTTGCAAATGATTTTCAAATAGTTTTTACATCTAAAATAATTCTATGTGACTTGTAAAATAACAAATTAATTCAGTAACTTTGTTTACACTTATAGCTTGTTATCTGTTCAATGTAAATGCACATTGAGGGATTTTCTTATTATTACTGATGTTAAAAAATAATAATCATAGCTGACATTTGATAAGCACTTCACAATTTACAAGGTGGTTTATATTCACTATCTCATTCTTTCCTATATTTCCCTCGTGAATTAGATGAAGGCAGAGATGGCATAATTATAAAATTTACAGAGGGCAAGTTGTTGAGAGAAATAGCTAATGCCTTAGACAGCAGTCCAGATCCCTAAAAGATGTTTATAGGTGAACACCCAATAAGGCTGAATCTAGTATGATCAAATGTGATAAAGATAAATGTAAAATCCTATACGTGGGTTCAAAAAATCAACTACCAGTACAGATAGCCATTTCTATTTAAACAATCTGGGGATTTTGTGAACAATCTCAATATAAATAGAAAGGCATTTTCATTCAATGAAAGTCCACAAAGTGATACAGCATGTGTGCCAGAGCTCGAGTGCATGCGCACATGCGCGCGTATACACACACCAAAAAGAAAACTCTATCATCTTAGGCTGCACCAGGAAGAATTATATCCAGAACAAGGGAGTACTTGTACCTCTGTACTTTGCCTTAGTCAGTTTATATCTGCAGTATTTTGTATGCCCAGTGCACAGCACAATGTTGGCAGAGTAAGCATAATAAGTGTTTGTTAATTGATTGCAAATTCTGGGAGCCATGTTTTAGGAAGGTCATTGGCAAGCAGGAACATATCCAGAAGTAAAGAACCATGATGGTAAGAGGAATACAGCTCATGCTACATGAGGATACACTGGAGGAATGGGAGATGGTTGGCCCAAAGGGAGATACAGTAACTATCCAAGTATTTAAAAGGCTGTCACATAGGAGAAACAAGATTCATCTTATTGTCCCTAGAAATCAGAACTAAGAGCAGTGGGTGGAGATTGCAGAGAGACAAACAGGTTTGATGAAAGGAGAGCCTTCACAAAAACTGTCTAAGAAATAGAATGAGTGGTCTCAGGAAGTAGTGGATTCCCCTTCACTGGAGTCTTCAATGGATGACTATTCATCAGGAATATTGTAGATGAGATTCTTGGTCAGTTATGGGTTGGGCTAGATGTCCTTTGAGTTCCCTCTGAATTGATTCTGCAATTCTTACAGCCACAGATATATTGTAGGATTGACAGAGCATGACCAAGCAAACTGAGGCTAAGCCAGGACTTGAAACTGATCTGACCTGAAATCTACTGTTTTTTCCATGACTACATACTTTCTAGATCTCTAAGACAAGCTTAACAAGAGGGGAAGTAAAGGTAAATGTAGCCAGAACCTAAGCAACATTCTCCTAAAATGAAAAAGGCCCAAATCTGATTTAGGTTATATATTTAATTTTACATGATCCAGATCTTCTTGAAGACTTTCATTATCATCAAAATGATTTGCATTATATCTCAATGTTCAAGACGTAATGAAACTTCCAAATTGTCTTGAATTCTCCTTAATCATGTGCTTTGCCAGTCACTTCAACTGGCCAGCCACAAAGTTGTTCATGTTTCCCTCATCCTACAAAAACAAAAACAAACAAAAAACCAAAAATACTTTATCCTACCATCTTGTTATCAGTAATCCTGTATTTCCTCCTTTCTTTTCTGCTAAACTCCTTGAAAAACTTGTCTATATTCATTGCATCCACTTCGTCTCTTCCCACTCTGTTCTTAACTCTTTGCAATGTAGCCTCCAACTTCACCCTTCAGCTGAAACTGACCTCTTTATAGCACCTAACAAAACTGATTACCTTCTCCTCCAAGATCTCTCTCCTTTGTGAATTTTCATGACTTTACTGTCCTGGTTCTCATCCTACCTAT